CTATAAACCGGATGCTGAAAGGTGGAGGCAGGAGCCTTGCAACAGGACCACTGAAACAGCCATCCCGGAATTAAACAGCTCTGCTTCTCAGGACTACAAAAGCCTAATCAAAGCATATTGTTAGTTACTCAACCTGCACAAGGCACTGGCAGCAGGGAAGAGGTGTCTTGTAATCCAGCTGAATCATAACATCCACCATTATATAGCACTTTTAAAAGCTAGGGGTGCTGTTATTGTATATAGCACAGCAAAGGCAGTGAGCAGACAGTCATGGAAAGTGTACTAAACACAAGGAACAAAGGCATTTCCTACCCCAAATCCCAATCTACAACCTGAAAAATATCCTAGAGGAAGACTGCACAAGTAGTGGAAAGCTGCCTAACTGCTACTCCTCTAGCAGTGAGTAACAAAGGAGGAGAGCACAACTGTAGGACAGAGCACTCAGCAGCACACCAAGCAGACAGCATCCTATGCTTTTGGTCTGGAGTTTCACAACTGTTGAGCTGAACTTGGCGTGTTTTCTCAGGGCCGCATTAAGCTGGGTCACACTGAAACCCAGGTCTGCCATCCTTCCTCTGGATACACACAGCACCTGTGCAGCAGCACAGGACCATGCTAACTATGCACTGGGAAAAAAGCAGGTACAATACAGAAGGTAGAGATAAGGTCACAGGCGCTGCTGGATGGAGCCTCCCAGTGAGCTCTGTGTGCAGCTCAGGGACACTGCAAGAGCCCGCAAATGGGCAGGTTAAGGAACTGTAAATAACCATCACAAGTCCATTGGATCAATGCAGGCTGCCACAGTGGCTTGCTGCCGGAGAGGAGGACCTTGCCTGTTGCTCAGCATTGACAGCTCACCACAACCGATTCCTCCCCCCCAACAAATGTTGTGTGGGTTTTCTTGCTTGGAAAAACAAACGACTCCTGACGTCTCATAAGTACAACTGCCACAAAGGATAATGAACCCCAGAAGTGGTTACAAAGCTAATGCCCTCATAACGATTTCCTTTCAGTCATAACAGATCATATCCAGACAACAGAATCCCAAGACATCACTAATGATAGCAGGCTCTGTCAGTATGTGAGATGCTATGAGACTTTGTGAATTAAACCCCATTATTGTCCTAAATTATAGATAAATTCTCCCTTTCCTTGGTGATATGCAACATATTTTTTCTTCAGGGCAGTTAGATGATGTCAGCACAAATTACTGCTTTCCACACAGTGCAGATGACAGAACTGGAGGCATTTAAGAAGCTTACAAAACACAAATCTGAAGAGACAGAAGGAACTGCTTCCTTTGACTTGGAAATAACAAATCCTGCTGTGGCATGCGGGGTAAGGCAAGAGAAAAATCCTTTAATTTGGGACACTGATGGAGCTTCAGAAGTTTCACATACTTAAAAATCAAATTTCGAGTTTAAATTCTTGCTCTAAATTACAAAAAAACACCTCCAACAAAACAACTTTAGATGCTCTTATCCCTCCATTAAATATACACTGAGGTGTAACACTGAGGTACAGGTTATTGCCTAGCTGTTATTGTATATAACACAGCAAAGCACATGAGGAAGCTCTTGTATATGGCTACTGCATATAGTACACAGCCAAACTATGGAGCTCTATTTTCAGCCTGGAAAAAAATGAATATACAATATCATTTAGAGTGCTTTTCTAAATGGTTTCCTATTCTTTCAGCGTTTCCTGGTAGATCAAAGTTGAAGGAAGGGCAGAGGAATTCCTAGCGGTTACCTGTGTGAGAAGGACTCAAAAGATCTACACAAGGCAAGGTTTGCAGGAGGTGCTGGTATCTTTTACTAGATCGAGTGATATAATTGGAAAAAGAATTGTTGTGAGGCATATGGCTCTGTAGAATTTTTTGTTACTTGATATACAAATACTTCATTTGCAAATCCAAGAACTGGGAATTGATTATCCTGCATAGTTTTCCTTTATTATCATTGTGGCATTGCGCTGCGTGCACCAGCAGTCAAGCTCTTGGTTGCCATCTGCTGTTCTTCTTTTCCATTTCACCAATTTTACGAGCAAGACCAGGTCATGAGAAGGAATCTTAAAGACAAACCCAAAATCCATTCAATTTTGCTTGTTAAAGAACAAGCAAAAGCCTCTTTGTGGTAGTATAAATGGGAAACAAACAGATATATAGGGCTTCCTTGTGTTTCCACGATTTTTTTCATCCCAGTCCTTTACAAACATTAGGTAATTCTTTGCCAATCCTTACCTTTGCTTTACACCTGGGGAAACTGAAGCGCTGAACAGCAATAATACTTAACTAAATGCACCCTGGACACTTACAGTAGAGCTGAGAACAAAGCCCACGTCTTTTGTCTCTCAGTCTTGTATCCTAAAACTCTCTTTTTTTCTGCACTTTTCAAATTTGCTCATTTTGAAATGCAGCAGTTCCAAATAAAAAGGTCAACCTCAAACAGTACAATTGTCATTCACTCTTCTCCTACTACTCCGTTTGAAGTGATTTGCAGATACAGATATTCTCCATCATGGGTGCGAGAGAGAAATCTTTGGACTCTGTCACAAACAGTTGTGGGTTTGGTTTTTTCTGGTACACAAATAATATCAAGAACAGAAAAATAACCCACACATGCCAGTGGCCCATCCTAAAAGCCCCAGTGCAGAGAACAGCCATTACTATCCTGGCATGGGCCCAACGTAGTGAAAACAAGGAAAGAGGTAGTAGTATGCAGGTCTGCCTCAGTGAAGTGATACAAATCAAGCAAAACCCACCACAATTTTGCAGTGACGTGTGCTCTGCACCACAGCAGTTCTGAGTTTTTCCACATGACCATATATGCACCAGGAACTTACTTATTGCTATTAGCACCCTGCAGTATATAGAGGCATCTTGTGAAGAAAAATCATTTTACTGCCAAAAATACAGTGATCCTTCTAACACAACCCTGTTAGGTGCCAAATTTGCTTATCACAGATAAGCCTCATATCACACTACAGTCTGAGTAAGACCTGCACATCTGGCCCTGCAGCATTAAATTCCACGCACAGTTCGAAAATATCATGTTTGATTTATCCATAGCATCTACTTTTAGTAGACGGTAGAGCGTTTCTTAGTAGCTTACAGATTATTGCAGAATACACAGTGGTAGTAAATGGTATGAAAACTTTGAGTGCCTGTTTGTCTTAGCACAGGCTGCTTCCTCTTTACTGTCTTTACTCTGGGGATAGTTAGGTTTTATTTCACTGGAATGTTATATGCTTCACAATTTTGGCACATGCAGTGCACAGTTGCTTGCTGAAGGATTTCACTATCTGACATTCCAAAAGTTTCAGTAGAAAGGTATAAATAGTGAAAAAGCTGGCAATAAATCCTCACTAACTTTAGGTGCACTTTGATAAAGCAGAATAAAGTGATTAAGATTAAAAGGGCAATTCTACTGAATCTAGAAAACATACTGTAAATACTAAACACTTACCACTGGGCCTTTATCAAAGGATGTAACACACTCTGCCATTGCACCAGAACTGGGCAACAATTGCAGTGATTTGGCAGGCAAGGAAGCACAGTTTAGGTAATGAAAGAAATAGAGCTTCCTACTCCTGGAATTTACATTTAGAGTTTCTACTTCAAAAAGTAAGAGCACACAAAAATGCTTACACTACATACAGGAACACACTGATACTGATGGAGATGTGTTCTTAAATGTGCATATATTTAGCCCCTTTTTATAAATTTCATACAAAATGCAACATTGCAAGAATAGCTATGGCTTCATTGGCAACGTTTTCAAAGAATAGATGACTGATTGCCAGTCATATATCAGGCAGTGAACAGGTTGTCCTGCAACAAATCTCAAAGTATACAAAAGGAAATGAAAAAGACTGATAAAAATAAAAGGATCAGTTCCAAAACAGCAAACCCCCACCAGCTGCTGCTTCTGCATCTCTCTAGACTCATTACACTTGTGCACTTCAGTGGATAAAGATGTTGTTGGTAACCAGTGAGTGTTAGGGGCTTTAATGTTGCTGCCTCTCTAAACATAACACACCTGCTAGCTCACAAAGCATATGGTGACAGCTTTCAAAAATTAACCAGAAAAGGAAAGCATTGTTTTGCCAAGAATGACTTTGGCTGCCATCAGACGTATTCCAGACCAAAAGGTGGCTTGTCCTTGATCCATAATCATTTATATTTTGACAATGAAACATGGAATCGCACCTATTGCTGTGTCGTTTGCATGCAATTCATGGCAACTCTCTGGAACATTTTGTGGGTTTGGAGCAGATTCTAATGTGATGACACATCAGACACCAACAAATAGTATCATGGTTTGAAACCTTGCAAACCTAGAAAAGGAGTGTTATTTACCTGATCATTTGGTAGGATCCACAGCTCTGTTTCCCAGTGTTGTTTGCAAAAGTGTGACCATATTATACCTTTCCTTAAGACAGCTTATTAAAAATACCATACATACGGTTTAGAACCCATTTGACAAGGCAAATGTAATTACAGGGGTGGTGTATGAAATGGACTTTATGACATAGTTACCCACACAGACAAGGTTTACCACTGTAGAGTAAGCCTCTGATGAAAACTAGTTATCCAGTATAAAGCATCTACTAATCCAAAAAAAGCTTACTGAATTCCAAAGCTTTACATTACAACGGACCAAAAATTCCATATATCCTTACCCTTCCCACTAATTTCTACCCACGGTTGTTTTGTTTGAGCACCTAGCTAGGCTCATCCAGTCAACAGCTACTGGAATTACAGTGCCACAGTTTTGTTTTGCCTTGCACACTTTATATGGGGACACACCACAGCACTGTTAAATGAAGCTGCAGCAGTACAAATTAACCCAGAAACATCAGCACCAGCATGGCTGAGGTATCACCCAACTCTAATGGGACTCTAAGTGCATTTATAAAGTTGCAGAATGTTAGCTCCAGGACAGCTGTTCTAATAAGCTCATCCTAACAGCGGTTAGTAGGGAAAACGATGATTTTACCTGAAGGGGGGCATGATGGATATTTGCAGAGGTTACTTGTAAGAAGTTCCGTTTTCTACCCAGTTGGAGAGCAAAGTGTGCCTTGCTGCTGCTGAGATAAGCCAGGACCCTGGCAGATATCATTACAGTTCACTCAGATGCGAGGTCCTAGAAAAACAAAATTTGCCAGTACTTGTCATTTTCTATAGCAGTTTTCCACCAGAAGGTGACAATTGTTCTGCTGTGTTCTGTAAAGCCAGTATTTAACAAGCTGAGCTGAAGTCCCTCATCAATTCAGTTTAGCCATGAGCTCAGCCCTGAACTTCATTTCACTGTCACAACTACCAAAAGCTAACTGTGGCATTTATTTTGGCAGCAATCTCCCTACACAGTGAAGGTACCAGTCTCATTAAGGAGGCCAACTGCACCCCAGGTTGCTTCCACTTCGGGAGCTCCAGCATTTCTGACTGGCTCTTTCCTAATGCAAGGAGCAGCTTGAAACCACCATGATAAATACACAAAGAGTACTGCCAGTTTTCCAGGGCACTTGGACATCTTACATTCCTCATGCATCTAAAAGCCTGAATACCCTAAGGCATGCAAAGCATTACAGTATCAGGAACAAACCCCCAGTCAGTGGATGGCTGTCTGCCATGGTATTTCCATGCTTGCACATGTGTATTAAGATGCAAATCCAGAATATCACATATGCTAACGGCTGCTGTAGACACTTTTATTTCAGGATCTCAAGGAGCAAATGGAAGCCTGCAGCATCACTGGAGAGAACAACTGCATAGCACAGGGGATCAAGGAAGACCTTCAGTGGTCTGTCAGAATGCACGCACACAAGTGAATTACAAAGGAAGAAAATCAAATGTGGTAATTCTCCTTGTCCACCTCAGCTTCAGCAGCAAAAATAGCACAATCAGTGAACAACCTGTGACTCTTTAGCTCTGGTGAAGCATTCCAAATCTATTTTGTTGTACCTTGAGCTGCTACTCAACTCTCAAGCATCAAGCAGCATATATGGTTCAAATGCAATGACTCCAGTGTCCATACATCTGTTATTCCTGTAACTGCTGCAAAAGCATAGAGGCCAGGTTGGCAGATGGAAGGTTTGCCTTTGAGGAGAAATAGGTCAGATGATAGCTGAAAGTAAAAACAAAGAAAGAGATGCAGCTTTACTTCCCCAGCAGGCTGGTACTTCGCTCAGACACGCTGAACGCACAGCTCCTTGAGAGCAATTCCCTCTACATTAGCAAAGAACATTGCCCAGCAGGCCCAAGGGTGTGGTAAAGTCTCTGACCACATAAGCTTCTGACAAGGTAAAAGCTAAGCATACTGTAGAAAGAAGCAAAAAGTGGAGGGCTGAGTGTAAATCCTTTGCTTGGGACACATCTCCTAGGATTTGTGACTATTACAGGAGGGTAATTTTCTGTGTGACTGCTCCCTTTCTACATGCTTTTAGTTAAATGCTGGAGGAAAGCAGAAATACTGTGTTTTCATGCAGTAAGTCCATTCACAGGTACTCACTAGGATTACACTGGCTTTTTTCATCCAAATAGATGTCCCCACAATGACTGTTCTCCTGTTTGTCTCATTGAAACCATTCTCCTCCTCAGTTCCCACGCTGTTCAGAGGGAAGAATTCCAACTCCCATACAGAGTCATAGAATGGTTTGGAAGAAACATTCAAAGCTCATATAGTTCAATTCCCCTGCAATGAGAAGGGACATCTTTAATTAGATCAGGTTGCTCAGAGCCCAGTCCAGCCTGATATCTAGGTCTGCTATCATGCCTGACCTAACTAAGATAAACAACAAACCCAGCACATTTTTCTTGGTACAGCTAACAGTGTGCTGTAAACATTTTCTGAGTATTCAGAAACCATTAACCATCAATTCTTTGATGGTCCACAGAGCTTCTTATCATCTGAGATTTTTGTATAGCATTAACATGCACTAAATACATCTTTAAACAGAGGTCACATGTGTATATGAAAGTTTAGTAGTTACAGAAGATCAAAGTTTTATATTTTTTAAAGTTAAAAACACTATAAAACCTGAGAGATTGCAACTGAGGGTGTTTATAGTAAAGGTATATTGAAGGAAATTGTTTGAGATAGTGGGTGGAGAAGGTGAGAACGTATAAGCCATCTTTCTCATGGTAGAAAGCTGTGCTTTTTAAAGAACTACTGGGAATCCTCAGTGGAAGATATGGTATAGTTGACATACCTTGAGTTTTCAGAGTAAGAGAAGGCAGCAGCACAAACCACTTCATCAAAACTGACTTGTGACAGCTTGTTTTCCAAGTGGAAGTCCTTGCAGTGCGTGCTTTTCCATTTGTCTCACTGAATCCATCCTCCTACCCTAAAGAAACGAGCCAAAAATAACAGACTGTTTCTAGGAGTTACATAGATTGTGGATAGTACAATTAGGAAATCTTAGTAGAGTTTCTTTATGTATTGGGCTACCTCTGATGGCAGCTGCTTTAAAGACGAGTTATAACTCATGGGCCTATTTAGTGAAAAAAGAATGTGGCTAAAATGTTTCAGGGAGAAGGCAGTGAATCATTCCATGCTACACTGACAGCATGCCTAAAAGCAGCAGCAGGTGACTTCCCCAAATAACCTCAGCCAGGTAGCAGCTGTGTTAGATGAACAAATCTGGAATGTTATGCTGATAAATCAGGAATGCCTTCACCCCAGCCAATTATGTTGGACTGCTGGGAGATGAGACAAGAGCAGAGCTACATCCCAGGTCCAGCTGAAGCAGAGGGAACATCAATATGGAGATAAAGCAGTATTTAGAAGATTAGCACCCTTTTTATTTCTTTCTGAGGACTTCTGCCTGTCCTACAGTGCATGCAAATGGCACATGTAAGAACTCCTTTCCTTTTACACAAATCTTCCCATGGCAAGTCCCAAAACACATAATACTCTATACTCTGCTGAACCCTTCAGCTGTAAAAGATCACTTCTATTAAATTTCTCCAGTGCTCCTCTGGAGTGTCTTTATAGCTTCTTGCTATTTCTCAACAAGCTGCTTTAGCTTTCTTTTAATAATCCTGTCAAATGTTGATGATGGCAAACTCTGTTCCTCTCCTGCTGCTCCCTAAAAGCCTTTTGGAGTTCTAGTTTAGAGAGCTCACATGTGTGGGCCTTGGAGTGGAAAAGGGTTGGCAACAGGCAACACGCTTTTCCTCTTGACACAGAGAATTACCCTCTGCTGGGGCTGTAATTTATTGAGATGCCTTTCACTACCAGGTTTTATGGCAGAAAGTTACATCCTGCTCTTCCCACACAGCTATTCCCTCACATTGCACTTGTGAACCAGAAAGCCTTCTAAATGTTACCTAGTAGCAATAATTAATCAGTGGTGTTTTGCAGATCCTATTGCTTAGCTTACTCTTTCATTTCCTCTTACTCAACATTATCACATTATGTTCCCTCTTCTTATGTGCTTTTCCTCTTCACAAAGCTCTTTGAACAGCTGCAAAGGGGGAGGGACCACTATGCTCACGAAAACTCCACTTTGCAGAATGCTTCTGCCAGGTCGTACTGTCTGTCTCTTTCCAGGCATTTCATACCTCCAAGATTCAGATTTGATTCTGCATCTCTTCCTTTTGCATCCCCGACAACAGAGCTTATTGCCAGCTGAAGAACAGTAATCCACCTCTTCTTGTTACTGCCATGAGGAATACGTACACCCTCTTTCTCTTTGCGGTGGGCTCCTTTTATTTTAACGGTAAGTGATCTTTTCTTTCGGATACACTTTGCAGAACAGCAATAGCTTGCGGGGCTTGGAGGTAGGACTGTGCTATAACCTCTCAGACAATTTGTAACAATCGCCTTGGTAGGCTGCAGACTTTCAGAGGATGCATGAAATGAAATATTTTACTGTTGTTTCTGGCTTGCTTGGTAACAGTAAATCCACTATGAGGGGTATGGACAGACAGTAAGTTGGAGATAAAACGATAGAACAGTAGGAGATGACAATGATAATCACTAAATAATAGCCCTTTAGATGCTCCCAGGATCATCTGTGATGGGAAAAGCAGGTATTGTGCTGAGACTGAAAAAATACAAAATGAACCATAACCTGAACCATAAATAAGGCAGAACTCATCCCTCTCCACTTACTGGCTCAAGTTCATATATTTTGCAAAGTTTCATACTTCCTAATGGCTAGATTAGTATGTAAATAGTATAAATTAAATATGAAAACAGATGCTAAAAAAAAAAAAGAGCAAACATACATTAAGAACATTTTCTTTAGTCCACCAGGATTTCTTGCATATGTTAAAACATATGCTGAAGCCAACATGAACAGCCCGACAGCAACATGAAACACTGCATTTACCATGGGAGCTTCTTTCCATGGAGACTCCACCGAAGTGTTCGGAGTGAAACTGGCTGAAATTGAACCATGATGAAAATGACATCTTTCCCATAATTACCTATTCATCCCACAGTTGTTTTGGTTCTTCAGTCACTGAAAGGCAGCTTTAGAAAACACCTGCTTTGTAACAAATGAAGAGTGAGGGCCTACTTCGGATTCTTAGATTACATGCCTTTAAACCCATCAGTATTTCCTTTTTGTTTGCATTATTTGCCGTGTAGAAATTAAAATAGTCTTTCAAATACAGTAAATTCACTAGTACTTCCATTGGAACAATCCGCATTCTAAGAGGTTAAATGAATCTTTCTATTTAAGAGTGTGCTGAGAAGTAACAGTATCACCAAGTAATTTCAGAGAAGATAATGGGATTGTCTTATCGCTGCTTCTCGCTTACTCTATGCTAATTACAGATGGGAATGTGGTATGTCACCACTCCCCACAGAAGTTACTTGGGAGAGAGGGAGGAACAAGAATGACAACATATTCTACAACTTATTATTTCTAAGCAAAAGCTATTTCGACATTTATTAAAATAATTGAAGTCAGGGAAACAGAGCAAACACGCCTCGTGTGATACGTTGCAATTTAGACATGGTAACAGTGCACTTGCCTGCATTTATCAACATTGGTCCTTATTCTGTTCTGTGGAAATCACTCCAACATTTTGTCTTTGCACTGAAAATAAACCACACAGGATGACTAGTTATTTCATTTTATACATTTAAATTAGACCATGTAAAAGAGAAAGCTTGCAGAGGGGAGTGAATGAAGTCTGTGGTTTTGTTTGTTCTGCTGTGAAATTGTGTCTTTCTAATGGTCATACTCCTGCAGAGAAAACAAACTTACTGCAGAATGAGTTCTGCAAGTTACATGGCAATCTGCTCTCCTTGTCAAGGAGCAGACATGTAGTGTGTTCAGTGAAGCTAAAACAGTTTCCCTAGCTCAGGATCCATCCCAGCACGTTTTCACTATTACTGCGTTCAGTACACAAAAAATACTCCACCCCCAAATGAGGGCCACTTCATCATTCTTGTTAAAACCCTTTGTCTAAAAGCATCAGTCTCCCCTCAGCAACATTTCTCTTTGGGGAAAAAAAAACAGTTTGCGAGGGAAACTGTGCGCTTCCATTTCTTCTAACTCAGAGGAAGAAGAGGAATTCCAAACGCATGGCTGCTGACATCATGATGTGTGTAAAGATGAACGTGAATGCCTGGCAATTTTGTTCTCATTAGATGCCATCTGGTAAATATGCAGATTGGTAATGGAAAGTAAAAATTACACAGGAATGGCTCATTTTCACATGCTATTTACAGAGAGATTTGCTCTAGCAACCTTTAAAGCAGTGCCCTGACGACATCTAGTGGTGTTTGATACAGGCATGAGTGAGATGAGAAATTAGCCCCTTCCATCTGTATTTCTGATGACTGTTATTTAAAGGTTGGGATGGGATGGCAATTTTATAAAGAAGTATTCAGCACAGGGACCCCTTCCCTAGCATCAGATCATGTTTATTAAAAGGATTGAGTAACAAATAATTTATTATAATTAAGTCAAGGCCTGCATAAAGTTTATTGAGGAAGGCAGTACTCTGAGATCTGAGCTGTTCTTATCAGACATGCAGACCCCACAGTAGGGTCTGATTCACAGACCAGACAACTGTGATTACTAAAACCAGGTTTCGAATAATAGGATTATTACAAATTCAGAATGACTTTTGTACAAACATTCTGCAGTCTCTACTCCTTCCTCCCTGATTAGCAAATCCCTCCATATGCTGGGATAGTTACAGAAAATACAGCTTCACACTGAAAACACACTCAACAATTCAAACAGGTCCAGTGACCACTATATGCAACAAACCAAATGACAGTGTATTTATATTTGAATGAAAGCCATCTGCTTATGTCACTTCCACATGCAACAGTGGGAAAGTTTGTTAAAAATGAAACCAAACCAAACCATCACAATAAAATAACCTTAACCAAGATTCTCTCTTTACCTGTCACAAGGCTTCTCACCTATCATTTTAAACACAGAACAACTCATTCCTAGAGTGCAGCCTCATTTGCTTCACGATATCAAATGTAGCTCTACCTTGATGGCAAATACACAAGAAAAAAACAATCTGGAGCTTAGCAAGGCTCAGTGCAGTTCTAACTTGTTGAGCCTTTGATTAGGCAGGCTTACATTTAGAATAAATGTGATACAGAGTATCTCATGGCATTAGGGCTTTACTAATGGCTTTCAGTGAGGTACAAATCAAGCATGAATCAAAAATCAAACCTGACAAACACACAGGACTATTCGTCCAAATTTGTTTTCCCAAATGGCTTGGGAAATATTTGAGAAGCCTGTTCTGAAGAACAGTATTAGAGTTAAGTATATGGCACCAAAATTGTGTTACCAATGCCATAGCATATGCTAGTCTTAAAAGAATTACAATGAGCCTGGGGTTCATCTCAACTTTTCCCCAAAGCTGTTCTTAGGTATGAAAAATCTATTTGATGTTTCCTTCCTTGTCTCCCCACTTTCTTGCTGGATCAGAAACAAGAAGTTCGAACTGTATTTTTTTAACCTGAGTGGAATTCAGAAGTAACAAGTTGCCCTTTAAGGAATGTACAACCCTGTTCACATGGAAAGCAGGCACCTAGAAGTGCACACAAACTTTGTGATCCTGGCCTTTTGTTGTCTGCTTTTCTCTGGATCTCATGGATATGCTACAGCACAACAAAAACCCAGAACAAACTAATGTAGCGCAAATTAAACACTTTCATGGCCAGTGGTGTTTACTGTGTGAAACTGCTCCAGGGCATCATGGAAAAAATATGCTGTAGAGACACTACCCTCATTTCTGCAGTGTCTACTTTTGAGTTAGATGCCCTTTCCTATGGTAGAATCATTTTATCATTGGATTAGAATCTGTTTTCACTAACACCTACATCCATCATTGTCATCTGAATGACAC